TAAATTAAAGAACCCTAATTTTGCTTCGTTAATTGATTGATAAACCCCTATTCTAAGTTTCATTCAAAAATAAGAATGTGGTACACAGTTACCATAAAACGTGTCATCAAACGTGACACACCGTTAATTACCTCAGATAAAATTTAATGTCGTTACTTTTGGAAGACTAAATATTATAGTTTCATTAAGAAAAATGATCATAGTGAAACAAAGTTTGAAAGAGGGACTAAACCCAAAAACACTTGATAATTGAGGGATTAAAAACTTATTTAACCCAAATTATTATTATAGAAAGTTTTTAAATTCAAAATATTAAAATTAAATATTTCAAGTTTAAATGTTAAATTAAAAAAATTAATAGACTTTGAAAAAGGATTTTAGCAAAATGAAAAGGCTAGAACATATTTAACATTATTTCCAATATGCTTGGACATAAGATGAAAGTGAGAGATAATAAATAAAGATGGAAAAACAGAAAAAGATTTTAAGAGAAAATTAATATATTAGGATTTTTATTATTTTCTAATATTATTACATAAAAAATGAGATTAAAAAAAACAGACTATTTCACTTCTTGAAAACATGTCTTCTACTTCCTCTTCCAACAAATAATGACTTGCTTTATATTCCTCTCATTTTGACTCTTTGTTTCTTTCCTTCTCATTTTGCATGAAAGAAATCAAATGTTAGAAAAAGAAAATGAAAAAAATACACAAACAAACTACAAAACAAAGCAGTTAAAATTGATTGATAAAGTATTATGAATAGTAATTTTCACACTTTTGAAAGTTGACAACATGTCATACAGTAGAGGCAGAAATTATTGCAAGACATGCCATTCACTTCATAATTTTTTTATATAACTCTCTCATAGAAAAGAAGATTCCAATACTCAAATCAATTCCATTCCTAATCGTAAGAGATGATGATCCATGAAATTTGTAAACTAGAACTTCTTTAAGGTATTTTTGTTCATTTGATGAATTTAATCAGAGAAGAAAACTTGTTAATGGCTTTCATTAATATAATTAAATATAAAAGAAAATTTAAATAAAAAAGGAATAAATATTATAATACCATAAACCTATATGAAAAAATTTGTCATCTTTTTCTCTTGTTTGCATACCATTCTTCTACACCAGCACAATATTCTCCAGTTCTTGTGAAGTTTCACATTTTTCTTTTGCTGGTTGCAGATGTACTGCAAACTAACTGGTTTCTAAAAAGTATAACATTGCAGAAACTAATCTCCAGAAAGCAGAATTTTGCTAAAGAAGAAAGAACCACAAAATAAATTGGTTGTAAACAGAACCTTTCCCATCTAACTCAAACACACAAAACCTTATTAGTTTCATCAAGCAACCTACTCAATACCCTGCAAGGGACAATAGAGGAGTAATCAAAGACTCAAAGTATGACATGATGAGATAACATGGTTATTAGACACCCTGCACTTACAGGTTAAGCAGACTATCTATGTTAAATCAAGTATAATCAAAGAATCAAGTGAGATCAGTCTCTAACATAGTAAACTTGAAAAAACCAGTGGTAGGACAAAAAAAAAGTACTCCAAACATGAGTGAGAGCAATTGATGTGTTCAAGCATAGTCCTTCACACATCATATTCATTAGTTCGAAATAAAAAAACTATTAGCCTTTACTGCTCCCTAAAGCAGGTTTTTAGATGGTATTGTTGGGTTGAGCTCCTATCTGTGTATCTAAAAAGTCTAAACTTAAAAAGTTGTGCTACTTAACCCAAGTGGAGAAGAGTCTTCTGGGTTAATAGAGTCTTAATTTTGCACCATTTGGGGAAAAAAAGTACAAAAATTGGTTCACTTTTTACCAAGCCACTTCGGTCAAATTATGATTCCCGCTTTATTTACTATTGGATGAGGCTGAAAATTGGACAGGAGGTTCACGGCAACCAAGTGCTTACAATTAGCCAATACATCACAGCAGTAATGCTTTCCCAGATGAAGAACAAAGAAAAAGAAACCTAAAACAAGAACAACAGTGCAGAACTGATTTCTCCAACCACAGTGTCCAATCCACGATTCCAACCGTCCAAAGAAAGAACAATATGACGCGAACTTGATGTCCAATTTTCAGTATCATCCAAACAAAGTAGGAATCATAGTTCTACCGAAACTGCTCAATAAATATGCCAACCAGTTCTTGTGCTCTCTTTCTCTCTCCCAAAGGTTGAGAAATTAGCACTCTCTATTAACCAAAAAAACCTCCCCCTCCACTAGGGTTAAGTGAGACAAAAATGAATTTGACAAGTTTGAATTTTTAAGAGACACAATTGGGAGCCCAACCCAACAGGTATCCCAAGCATATGTTTGGTTGTGATTGTTTTATAGGATATAATTGCTTCTTCTATTTTTCAAAGTTTAAAGTTACATAATGCAATGAGAAACAATTTACAAACACAATAGCTTTATTCGAAATGCAGTAGTGAGATAATGAACAAATGTGATTGATGATACATTTAGACATGCTTAGAAGCTGATCTCATATTAGAGGAACAAAGCCCCAAAAACCATTATGCAGTAACCAATGACAAGTTAGAGGTAACTGTCATTACATTGAATTCCAGTATGCAAACTATTTGCACAGAACCTATGCCAGCAGATACTAAAGAACCAAATTCAAAGATCATTGTTTCCTCCAAGTTAAAGAGTGATGATATCAAGTATTGGATTTGCATATTGTTTGACATTCTACATGGCTTATCCAAAAACTGGTAAGAAACAATTATTTATCTAAAATAAGTTAAAACTATCATGGGCTAAAATGAACATGCTCTAGATGGTTAAAGATTTGGTCGAGAAAGAAACCAATAATATTGTAACTGCTCATAATCATTTTTGGTCTATTGATATTCAATATGCTAGTAAATGTCAACTAAAGTTCAACAATATGATACACCATAGGGTTAACAAAGTAAAGAGGTGACTTAGGCTCAGATTGGTTAACTTTTTAATAATAGATATGAAAAGAAAAAAAAAAATCAACTTATCCAACAAGTTAAAATTAACTTATGTATAAGTTAAAATCAACTTTTGGAAAAGTTAACTTATGGGTTACTTCAAATAGAGGTAATTATAGAGAAGTTTACTTCAATAAGACCTTATCTAAATAAACTTCTATGGAAACTTTTGTCAATTGATCTATCTTGATTCTCCTACGTTTGCATGGGTGAGTGAGTTAAGTTTTATTAGGTGACAGTATACAGTTTGACATTGACAAAAATCTCCTTATTCTACCCACCCAACTTGCCAAAATCACAAGTTAATGGGGAAGGTTCTTAGAGTAGAAACCATAGATGGAAAAAGAGATTCCAAATACCCCTCAGCCAACAAGCAATTGCAGATATCAAGCTGTCCCTAATAATTAATAAATAAAATAACTAGAGGAAGATGATTTCATACAAATGCAATTAGCATAGGATATCATCCATGCCATTACTTCTACAATCAAAAATGCAGAAGAAAATTCTAATCTTCTTATACATAACTAACAACAAAACATACCCACATCCAAAGGAAAAAGGCAGGGATAAACAAGTGAATTCATAGCTAGTTATATACTTGTCTGGAGCATCATGGCCATTTCCAACTTTAACATTACAAATAACCGATAATTCATGATATTATTGGATCCAAAAGAAGGCCAGGTCCAGAGAGTCACATTTTTTATAGTCAAACACACTTACACTTGATTTAGAACCACACATTCACTAAACTCGAACTCCTAAAGTGGCTCCCAACATAACATCATCCTCTGTTAAAAAAATAAGAAAGATGAAAATAACAATTAGTTATTTAGCTTTCCTGGGTCAGATAACGTATACACATATACACATGTAAATAGAGGAAACATACATAACACTATTAATCAACATCTATTATGTATATAATATCATATAAAGAAACCCCATACCACCTGAAGAGAATTCAAGAGATTATGAACTTACATGCCTATTGAATTTGAAGTCAAACAGGAAATGTAGATTGCCAACAACACCAGAGAAGCACAACAAAAATTTGAAGTAATAGTACCTTTATGCAAAAAATCCAGAAAATAGGAGGAACAAAAATTGACAGTGAACCATGATGCATGTTTCTGTTTTAGAACTCAAGTGTATTGGTAAATTGAAAGCTAAGAGATCTAATCTATATTGCATACCTAAGTTTGAGAAATCATAAAATTCTTGCTTACACCAAATTTAGGATAACAAGAGAAAGAAACAAAACAAGGGTAAATTTCAAAAGTGAATTTTTAAAAAGGTTATATATATAGGGCAACAATGTCACACATCACAATGTTGAATCTGGGTGACAGTTTTGAAATGAAAGAGAACTAAAAATGTAAAAGTATTACCTGTTACCATGCTGTTCTTGAGCGACTTTAACCATAAGAACCTCGGCATTTCGATGATCGGCATAAACATTTCTTTCTCCCTTTGACTGCACGGATACCCTCAGCATGATCAGATCGGGCAACTCCATAGTCATATGTTAACTCTGTCATTGGTGGAATGTGTCTGAGAGCAAAGAAGGCAACATGGACGTACGATTGGTTGTTTTCTTCATATACCACAGGCTGCCAAAAAACATTTGGGGAGCAACTATGATTCATGAATCTAGCCACATTCCCAAAATTCTTGGCACTTATGGTCAAAGGATACGGCATGGCATAATGCTCACTAGATTCATTGGGATTGACTTCTTCCAAAAGCTTAGGCTCATAATTCCACTTGAATTGACCATAAATCCGGGTTGAATCAAAAACATACTCATTTCCTTCCCTCACAAGCTGACTTACTTTGGCCNGTTAAGTTTTATTAGGTGACAGTATACAGTTTGACATTGACAAAAATCTCCTTATTCTACCCACCCAACTTGCCAAAATCACAAGTTAATGGGGAAGGTTCTTAGAGTAGAAACCATAGATGGAAAAAGAGATTCCAAATACCCCTCAGCCAACAAGCAATTGCAGATATCAAGCTGTCCCTAATAATTAATAAATAAAATAACTAGAGGAAGATGATTTCATACAAATGCAATTAGCATAGGATATAATCCATGCCATTACTTCTACAATAAAAAATGAAGAAGAAAATTCTAATCTTCTTATACATAACTAACAACAAAACATACCCACATCCAAAGGAAAAAGGCAGGGATAAACAAGTGAATTCATAGCTAGTTATATACTTGTCTGGAGCATCATGGCCATTTCCAACTTTAACATTACAAATAACCGATAATTCATGATATTATTGGATCCAAAAGAAGGCCAGGTCCAGAGAGTCACATTTTTTATAGTCAAACACACTTACACTTGATTTAGAACCACACATTCACTAAACTCGAACTCCTAAAGTGGCTCCCAACATAACATCATCCTCTGTTAAAAAAATAAGAAAGATGAAAATAACAATTAGTTATTTAGCTTTCCTGGGTCAGATAACGTATACACATATACACATGTAAATAGAGGAAACATACATAACACTATTAATCAACATCTATTATGTATATAATATCATATAAAGAAACCCCATACCACCTGAAGAGAATTCAAGAGATTATGAACTTACATGCCTATTGAATTTGAAGTCAAACAGGAAATGTAGATTGCCAACAACACCAGAGAAGCACAACAAAAATTTGAAGTAATAGTACCTTTATGCAAAAAATCCAGAAAATAGGAGGAACAAAAATTGACAGTGAACCATGATGCATGTTTCTGTTTTAGAACTCAAGTGTATTGGTAAATTGAAAGCTAAGAGATCTAATCTATATTGCATACCTAAGTTTGAGAAATCATAAAATTCTTGCTTACACAAAATTTAGGATAACAAGAGAAAGAAACAAAACAAGGGTAAATTTCAAAAGTGAATTTTTAAAAAAGTTATATATATAGGGCAACAATGTCACACATCACAATGTTGAATCTGGGTGACAGTTTTGAAATGAAAGAGAACTAAAAATGTAAAAGTATTACCTGTTACCATGCTGTTCTTGAGCGACTTTAACCATAAGAACCTCGGCATTTCGATGATCGGCATAAACATTTCTTTCTCCCTTTGACTGCACGGATACCCTCAGCATGATCAGATCGGGCAACTCCATAGTCATATGTTAACTCTGTCATTGGTGGAATGTGTCTGAGAGCAAAGAAGGCAACATGGACGTACGATTGGTTGTTTTCTTCATATACCACAGGCTGCCAAAAAACATTTGGGGAGCAACTATGATTCATGAATCTAGCCACATTCCCAAAATTCTTGGCACTTATGGTCAAAGGATACGGCATGGCATAATGCTCACTAGATTCATTGGGATTGACTTCTTCCAAAAGCTTAGGCTCATAATTCCACTTGAATTGACCATAAATCCGGGTTGAATCAAAAACATACTCATTTCCTTCACTCACAAGCTGACTTACTTTGGCCCTATCAACAACTTCTCCAGCATATTCACAAACGAAGGTACCAGAGCGAATAGGATCCAGAGACCGAAGACCCCACCCTCTATCCTTCGTTTTGAACACTTCCATGGGGTGCATTAAACCGGTTTGGGATACTCTATTTTTGCAGTTAGGAAAACACTGACATGTAGGGCCACATTCATGAACCAATTGCATCCGGCTCACCAGAACACCTTTTCCAATATAAGGGAAATCACCTTCATTTCTCCTAATGCAAGAGCAGTTCAAATCACCAGGAACACATGATTTAGTACAGGTGCATCCATTTGAAGGCTGCATCAAACTGAATGATTTAGGGTGTCTAAGAGAATGGAAATAATTGAAATAAGTAGGCGCCTTCACATTATCAACTTCATTGACAAGTGATACAGGAATGTTCTCAGCTCCATTGGAAATGTCTGCAAGAATAAGTCCCATCCTTGAAG